GGGGGGGGGGGGGGGTATTTTGGGTGTTTAAATTCCACCACATTATAATTTTGCTGGGTTTGAGAAACACTGGTCTAGAGCATCAGCACAACAGTTCCTCTCCAAGAGGATGAGCAATGCAGTGCAGTTCTCCATGCAAGAACAAGTTGTATTTCTTCCCCTGGAGGGCCTGATATGGCTGGGGGCCTGCCTATAATACCTTTTGATCTAGAGGTTGGTGGGTCCCCTCTTGACTAATTCTCACACTGTTTTATAGGCATGTTGGCAGTCTTTTTCCTTCAACTGTATTTTTTTCCCCAATCATTCAGACTGACAAAGTAAAATTCCCTAGGTTTCTTGGAGTTCCACAGCTTACAGTCCAGATATAACAAAGATAAAAAAAAAAAAATGTTAAAGCAAATTCAATTTGTAAATGAATTTGAACAGGATATGCAGAAACAGGCCATAAATGGTAAAGAAAGAGATGCAGTACTGGTGGGATTGAAGATTTAAATTTGGAAAATAAAATTGTATTAGATTGGTTAGGGATTTGAATTATTTCTCTTTTCCAGTAAGGCAAGTTTTGGGAAGTTAGCTATTGTTTTTGTAGTCTGCACGTGAAAAATGACATTGCTCAACCATCCCTTCCTTGTTCTTCCCCCACTGATCTGGATGCCTCCTGAGATTTATGTCTGCATTGTAGGAGCCTGTATCCTGTATGGAAATCATTTCTCGAAAGCACAGGGCAAGTGGCTCAGTCCAGACTCAATATCTGCGAAAACTATAAGAATCTAATTTCGGAACCCGCCAGGGCAGTGAAGTGCTTTAAAGAACAGCAGCTGAAAAAGGTACCTTCTGAGAATTTTGTTCTGTCCTTTTTACTTAGAGAAGCAACGTTCAGTTTTACGCAGGTGCTGTTTTACCGAAGAATGTTTGTTCACTTTCTTTAATCTTACACTAGTGATAAGGAAGAGTTGTGTTGGTTATTGTGGTGTCTTCTTTTCCTGATTCTCTGTGTCATCAGTGGTGGTTTGCACCACCTCCCCTAGAAACACTCATTCCTTCTTGCCCCTTGCTTATTTATTTATTTGTTTGTTTGTCTGTTAAATTAAGATCTGCATTGCTTTCAGGAATTCAAAGTCATAAGATAACAACATTCTCTCGTCTAATTTAATCCGCACAAGATGGCCATAAAGTAGGTTGGCTGAGAGATGATGCCTGGTCCAAGGTCATTCGTTGAGCTTTCATAGCTGAGGGTAGAGTTGAATTTGGGTCTTTCCCCTGCTCCTAACCCATCCACTACCCCACAAGACTTTATCGTAAGCTACATTTTATTGATTGGTTTGAAGTGATTTCTAGACCTCCACAATCATATAACTCTTAGTGGTGTGCAGAAATTGAATTATAGACATGCTGCAAAATGTCCAGGGGAAGCATCTCCTCTTGGCCTCCACCCTCCAGGTCACGGTGAAGGGGACTATGAGCCATTTTCCCCAAGTTGTTTGTATTGGGCAGGTTGTTCCTGCTTATCTGCTCCAGCTTTCTGGAGCAGCCAACCAAATATGAATGGAGAAAGCACAGCTAGGACATGAGATTGATACCAGCTTCTCACCAGCATTCCCTACAGTGATTTCCCATCCATTTTTTTTCCATAGCATGTGTAATTTTATGCATAGTTATGTGTATGCATATATACTGTATGTATCTTTTTGCATTCTACCCTTTCCTACCCTTTTTTTTTTTAACCCCACCAATGTCAGACTTCCTCCTAGAGGTTACATCATTTTGGTAGCCCTTTCATATGCTATTTCCCAGATCCTATTGGCTATATGGTAACAAGAAGCGTATACCCTATTCCAAGTTCACAATTATAACTTGAGCTTTGGGAGATGGGGACATATGAAGAATACTGAACTCACAAAAGGCATAGAGAAATCTGTAGTGGTTGAAAAATGAGAACTCTGGTACATTTTAAGAAAGATGTCCTACCCCAAGAAAAGAGAAACAAAAATGAGGAAGGATCTGGAGTATGTGATGCTTGAGAGATCTTATGTTTGGGATCTGATAGAAGCTTTAAATCTATCTATGTGGCCGCTAGGAGTCGACACCAACTTACTGGACAACACCAACAGCCACTATACCAGGCTATACTGGGAAGCCATTGAGATTCACAAACACCAGCACAGCTTCAATAAAAAAGAGG